AGAACTTTCCATACAATCTTCAATAGTTTTATCCGTACCCATTTAGAGTACGGAAATATAGTACTCCCCCCTCACTCCAAAAGGACAAGATCACTTTGGAGCGTATCCAACGGCGAGCCACGAAATCAGTTCGCGGACTCAAATCTAAGCCTTACGAAGAACGCCTCCATTCACTAGACCTTTACCTATTAGAGTATAGGCGTCTTAGAGGTGATTTATTAATGGCTTATAGTATTCTTAACACTTCTGGACATCCTCTTAAACACCTACTCAAGCTTAGTTCGAATAATAACCAAAGGGGTAACACCCAGAAACCGGAAACTCAATATAGCAGAACGGATTGTAGACACAACTTCAACTCCTTAAAAGTTGTAAAAGATGGAATTCGCTGCCGGCCGAGCTAGTCCAAGCGACTTCTCAGGAATACTTCAAGAGGCAACTTGACCTATTCTAAAGGACCAAGGAGAGTATCATACTATGATTCACCAATTTCTTTTCCTCTTTTATTGTTAACATACCTAGGTTCCTGCCTGCAGGATTTGGTGATCCCCTGCTACTAGACACGGAAGCCTGTTAAGCGAAAGCTTCTTCTATTCCGTCCACAACCATTTGAACCGTTTTGAACTTAACACCTCATCCTGTTTTATACTATGCACTATCCTGTAAAATCTTTTCTTCCGACCACTGCCTGCCTAATTTCATATTCTCGAGTTCCATTGCCAAACAACAAGGATGACACTTCTCTAAAAACATACGGTGAGTTTCAGCCATAAGTTTCCTGCAATCATAAGGTCATTTTAGATGGCTCGTTCAATGGTGACCACACAATGATCTGAATTCATTCGATTGTTCTGATCCGAGCGAGTGGCAAAAACGTCAACAGCATCAAGCACCCTGGAATTAATTGCCATACTGCATGTTTTATTCTGGATACTTTTGGATCATTACTACTCCGAACGAATGGTGTTATATATGTCGTTCATTGAATAATCTAATTTTCAAAAATAACCCAGGCGAGTTCAACTATTTTACTGGATGATTTTTTTTGTACCTAACATGTATATGTTTCCCAGTTGCTTTTGCCATATATTTGTAAGTGTCCCTAGGCTAAATGCAGTAACTTCTTATAGAATGTTTATAACGCATCATATTCCTGCCTGGAGTTTCATAAGCAGTCTTAGCTTGAAATTTATTTTCTGGTCATGTTCATTATTTCTAAATTGCCATATACGTCAACAACCTGCATGTTACCCTGGCCCGTACATGCGTTGCACTATATCTTCGTGTCTTCTAAATTTAGAAATCATTTGAATCACCTTTAACATTCATCAGTAAACCCATCATAGTCGTTGTTGCTAATCGTATTTGGGTTTATGAATTGGTTTATCATATTAGCAGCCTCAAATGCGAACATAGTTTAGATAATAAGATTAAAAATTTAGGTGCACTAGTAAAATAACTAAATCCCTGAGTAGCTGTTGGCTAAACAAACGTTTAAAATCAAAACTCCGTAGCCTACTAGCATTAACACTAAACGAATATTTCTGAATTGAAATTTATAATTAAATTAGGCGTCTCGAATTCTGTAACATTACAAATTTCTGATAATTTTGAATCACCTAAAGCAACAATACCTATTTTTCCAAGGACTAATCCACAATCAACATTATAACTAGTTAAACTGAATAGTTTCAAGATATCGTCATAAAGCATTGTCATGACTTGTCAATCACGTAATATGTTTGATAAAATTAATGAAACTATTAACAAAATCGGTCAGCAAATTTACTTATAATTACCAGTAGTGTTGCTTTTCTTTTATCTTGATTCACTACAGATGATTACAGTATGTTTCTCTATCAGTTGCTCATTCAGTAAGTATCTCAAAACCTTGTCAGTCTAATTGATGGTCTAGCGACACAATCATGCATGCAAATAATCAGTATAAGCAGTCGAGCAAATATCCTGCAAACTGAAAACGTCAGTGTCGAATTTACCCCAACACTGACTAAGGTTCAAGCCATTATCACAGACATGAGTTGGGAGTGTACTCCCCCTGGTTACGACTTATGTTCTCCCTGTTAATCACATGAGCATCACTCACTATTAATCATCTTGTAAAAAATTATTTAGCTAAATACATCTTGCAGCACCACATCACTTAGTAATATGACACATGGGCTTAGCTTATTTTAATAACTTATAACCACTATATCTCAATTAAATCGTATTCTGCCTGCATACGTGCAACTAACTTGTATGTCCAATCAGCCGGCAAGTATAAATATAAATAAATAGTCTGCAACAAATCAGAACATTGAGTCCAGAGCATGTCTCTTACGAATACACTCATGTTTAACGATTTGTTCCTAGCTATCTGTCCAAAATTCATGTAATCAGCACTCACGTATTTAAATTGTTTTGATAGACATTCATGTGTATTAGTAGTATTATTAAATTCTATCACGGTCAAGTAAAAATGAGGTTGAGAAAATCTGCCCGTAACTAAATAAACCGTATCAAACTAACTGGAACACTAGTTGGAATTCTTCTCCACGGTAATACTTTTGTTCCTTCAGTTAGCCTACTAATACATATGCAATTGGAAATCAACTCATATGGACAACATACCGGCATAATTGCAAATTGATTTCATAATTTAAACCAAAACTAATACCAATATTAACATCTCTACAATATTCATTACTTTGATATTTCTAAACACAAAATACTTACTACCTATACGTTGAGTTATTAACCAACGGCTATTAACACGCATTGTTTTATTATTATTATTGTTATGCCATTCTTTATAGTTCAAATAATCTTCAACCAAATTTTCATTTCAAGCGTTTTAAGCATGAAGGGAGATATTTCAAAATTATTACATGTATTTCCCGACCAGATGCTGCCGCTTTCTTTTTGATTTATCCTTCAGCTTACTAATACCCGGAGGATTCTTATTATGCTTGGTAACCTCCGGCGCGCGACGATCCCATCTAATTTGGTATCGAACCAACATCACGTTGATTCTGGTGGGAGAGTAGTGTAGTGGCATTAGACCATAACCTCACAATCTTCAAAGCTAAACACAAGACTACTCAGAAAACAGATATTCAATATTTAACACGGAGAAATACCTAAGGATGGAGAAGGCGCGAACAATGAATTGAAGTTGGTCGAATGGCATGGCTCGGCCATGCAGGCGTGGTCCCTGCTGAATATTACCTTATATCGTTTATTCACACTAAATATATTGTTCTTCTCTAACTTAAGCTCGTTCTTCATCATGTATTGGTAGTGGTTACGATACAGTGAGTTGGTGTAGACGATGATGTGACTTCCACGTAAGATCTTATAGATTAGGCAGTTATATCATGACAAATCTACAATTTTAGGATTAGATCTATCATTAGAGCAGTACTAATATCATAGTAGACCATAGTTCTACCACCGAACTGCCAATATTCGGTTAGAAGGCAGGACTGACAAACCGAAATTTACTCGAATAGGCCAGACAACGTTCTTCTGTATAACGTACGAAGCGTTTTTGAGCTACTCGTATTAAATTATAACAAAACACAAACTCTGTGCCCAATTTAAACGGTTTTAGTTTAGGAAATAGAACAAATTATATCAAAAATACAAAATACTTCAAACGGTACTGCCTGTGCTATACAGTGAGAATTTTCTCTAACGCAAAATAGCGTGCTAAACAACAAAAGAAGCAGTTAATGCAAAATAGTTCAATGCCTGAGAATCAATAAAAATAGTCCCAACAAGATGGGATTAGATATCTATCTGCAGAGATTCCAGTGATCTTCTCAAGCAGACATTCAAAGTTAACAGTCACACACTGATCCACGCCATGGCCTTGAGCTTAGTCAAACACGACCTTATTGTCAATAGTCCGGCAACATGCAATAGAAAACTAGGTAACGAAAGATAAGATCAAAATCACATAGTAAAAGCTGAGACGAGGAAGACCGAAGAACACAAATTGTGGTCAGAAGAGGTCTGAACAAAAGTTAAAATACACTAAAGGGAGAAGAAACAAATAAATGACAGTACTGTCCAACAAAAAGCTGTTGAGGGATTTTCAGCTTTCTCTTTCCGTCAAAACTATTGTCAGGGTTGTTCCCCTCACTGCCTTCTCATGTCTGGGGTATTGCTTGCGAAATTCATATGACGAAATTAGAACGTCTGGCACTTTAACCGGGTTGGAAGAAACGAAGGATCCAACCAGAGGAGTTGGAACACTCAAATTCCAAACCAAGTATGCACATGGGCTTTAGGATTCTGGGAGCACAAATGGCGTACAAATCTATTGTTGTTTACCGACTACCATGGAACCGCAGCCTCTAACGTCGCCCCACTGCCCTGTGGATTAGACCCTCCGATCGAATGATCGAGGAGTACCAACTTAAGATAACAACCTGATTCGGTCTAAGCACCCGGGTAGCATCCCATCCCACACACAAATCAAATGATAATTATTAATGGAACAATTACTCTTTCTTCAACTCACATCCAGACAAGTCATATTCATAATCGTTTGCTAATATTCGTTTTTATTTATTTCATACTATTCCGCTTATCTACCCCCTTTTATTCTCATTTAGTGTATTTTACTCTACAGTTCAACATATACAGCAACTGGCCTATAGTGGAACCCCTGTACTACATAGACGATCTCGAGTCACTGACTAGTCAGAGGTTGAATGCTACCACCGACTGAAATTAGTGAAACAATATTTCCGAAATCACGTATATCATTCAAACTATCCTCCTCCAACATTCTCACGCTAATGCGGATCCGACAGCACATAGGGTTGGCTATGTCTTTAGAAAGTCTCAACACTGGCGTCTGTTATCTATCCCATACCCATATTCAAGTCTGAAGTGTAGTACAGTAGTGGCATTGGGCCCTAACCATACAGCCATCAAAGCTGAACATGAGACAACTGGGAAAATAGATATTCCTCATTTAACGCGGAAACAAACCCAACGATGGAGAGGGCGGGAAGAATGAATCCAATTAGCTTGGGTTGATGGGATGGCATGGTTCAGCATTGCAGGCGTAGTCCTACTTATGCAACAGTCTCTTATCTATAATAAATGTATTGTTCTGTCTCCAACCTAAATGTGTTCTTCGCCATATACTGACGATGGTCACAACACGAGTGAGTCAAGGTAGAAAATGATGTGACATCCACGTAAAATCTTGAAGATTAGGCATTTATATCATAACAAATCTACAATTTTAGGAACGCGTCTATTATCAGAGCGGTACGAATTTCGAAGTAGACCATAATTCTGAAGTAATACAATTCACTATCCATCTGTCACTTCAGAAAGCCTGTTTCACGTGTGCTTGTCCGACAAATACACTGGATATTGGAAATTAGACTGCGCGTTAACATATCCAACCTTGACTCAATGACGCTAAACCTTACCAACAATTTCGCTATTTGGATCAGCCAATGGAGACGAGACTGGCCCCATCCACCCACAGCATCACTGGTTATAAATATCGAGCTGTAATTGCCTCGTTAATTATCTTGCCTAGCCGAGTTCAGTCGAAATGTCTAAAGTTAAGGTAAGTTACATCTTTTGGATACTGTTATTTGATACATGGTCACTTTGCACTTGGTCCAGTATAATATACGGTGCTTATAGGTTGAGCCAAAAGTAATGTTGTTAGTTTTGGCGAATATCCGTCGTTTATATGAATGTCATTCAGCAAGTAACCCTTTGTCAGCTATTTTTTGTTAACACTAGATTTTTACCACGTAAGTGCAACAATGTCAAATCCAGCTTTTAACACGAATCAGGGGCCACTATGTGCTTTCCAAAGCTACGTATTTATCACATTTTAGCTATCTTAAGACATAACTAGACTTTTATTATGATCCGAGTGTATATATTTCCACTAGACACGTATTCAGCCTAAAATATTTTCTCAAAATTAAGTGAAAATTAGACTAATTTCAAAAAGAAGGAAGCACTAAGAGTTATGTAATGAAGTCGGTCCTTCTACAGCTTGAGCAATAGACGTAGACTAACTCTGTATATTTCTAAAATAACTGCCCACCCATATTTCGCTTATGACGATTTAGTTTTGTTTAAAATTGTCTACGCTTCCGTCAGTACTCACTAACAGCAAGTATTTTGATATATGTTCAAGTTTACGGTTTTCGATCATATCCCGTTTGAATTCATTGGTTCAAAAATGCTTCTTTTAAAGACTCGAAAGTCAGAAATCAAACTATCTAAGCTTATGTACTTGCTCCTTGTACCGAGTCCTTAGCCATTGATAATCAACACTTAATACTATCAGAAGGAAATTGAACTTCTACGACACTACAAATTGCACAGCTTAATATCCACCTCCTAAAGTCCCCTACCAGTAAAAAATAAGAATTACACTCTGAGATGCTTGTATATATAAAGGTGTATGCATTTGACAATTGATCAGTTCAAAACCGATTGTTTCTACCATGTTCATCTATACAGAAACATGGCTTTATTAATTGTCCGCTTTACTTATCCCATTGTATTGGCTTACTAAATGAAAGCGAACACAAAACTAGCAATTCAGACCTAACGTCATTGTGGTTCAGGACAAACTGGAAAAGTGAAATTAGTGTCGCTTTTACGGAATGTAAAGTTTTGGGAATCTCTAATCCCACTATGTAATGTATAGTATATTAGAATAAGTTGTGGATTTTAAGCGGTGACATATGAACTAGACAATCCAAGTATCATCCATTAAGTTGTAGATGTAAGGTTTACAGTTGTTCAGTCTAAATTAAATGTATTGATTCGAGTTTTAAGCACTTTGAGTCTATATAAAATGTAATTATTCGTACTTCTTCGCATATTAGGTTGGAATTATTGGGGGTTCTGGATTCGATGACCCAAATTTATTCAAGAAAGTAGGAGTGCGACAAATGACTACTCCGTTTGGAAAGCCGTCAGATGCCCTTATCGAAGGTTTTGTTGGAGATGTTGCATGTGTTGTGCTTCCCAGGTAACCATTGTTAGTAAAAATGATCTATTCGTTATGAAATTATTGACTTGGCTGGAATAAGTAATTATATTGAACTTATTGTATGATAGTAATTTTCCAGATCTGTCCAAAACTTACTCTAGGAGCTACGAATGAACTAGAGAATAGAAACGAGAAAACAATGTACGTTATCTACCTGCCACACTGAAGATTAAATGGGTAGTCAATAAAGACTCCCCGAAAAATGAAATATTAACATTCCGAGAAAGCGGAAGGTTGTGGGAATAATGTAATAACAAACCTAAAAATATTATGGTCTAAAAATTAAAACTGCTATCAAAATCGTAGAATTTTTGGAGGGCATAGAAGAAATTACTGACTACCTGTTTTTTTTCCGGTTGGTTCTAGTGGCATCTGAACAGCACTTAACATGAAAGCTGTTTAGTTATCATGTCCAAAGACGTTAAAGTCATAGAAGGTAGTATTTAAAAAGCCCATCGGATATTGACTGACGGTTTTGATGCTATTCACAAACAATTTACTGAACTTCTGAATGACATACGATACTTCTGTCGAGCGCGAACAATCGTTTACAAATAACAATGGTCATTACAGAACTTATTCAGACATCTTAAGCTCGAAACTGCCAGGTTTAACAGAAATAGGGCGAAACTAACCACATTACAACGTTTAATATCCACTACTCGACAACGTGGTTAGTTTCTTGTTGGAATCAAAGGGAACTCTAACGGCTTTAAACCAATTCGGTTGACGCTACATAAAAGTGATTTTGTCTCTAGGATCATATGGAGCATCATATATGTACCCACATACTTGAGCGTGTTGATTATTTACAACAATTCACACATATGATCTTGCTAATCTTGTATTGTTTTGCTTATTGATAGTGTTAAGTGAAAGATCACATATAACCATGTATTAAGGTTTAATTTAGTGCGAATTAAGCTGTTTATGTTTTCATCACAGCAAAATGATAGCATTATGAATCAAAATATACCTGTAAAACCTTTAGGACACATCGCATTTACTATCTTATTTTTCTAATGACTGAAATTCTTGCATATTTTATTGCAAAAGTCTTAACTGTGCAGATTACAAAGGTCTGAATTTTCTGAAAATATTGATGTTCGAAAGGCACTCAAAATGAAGATTTTCGTGACTTTAATTAACTTCCCATTAAAAGACTGTTAACTGTTGTGCTGAATCTTGTATTTTTTACGTTTGTAGAAAATTCATCCCGATTGACTAGTTAAATGATTTCCTACTGACTTTGTCCCATCTTGCGGTTTGAAAATGGTAATATAGGAGTCTGTGTAGGAGAGATGTTTAAAATAGTTTTGCCTCAAAACAGAAGCGGTCCGGTTACTTTCTTCTAGGACCTATTTTATAATTTATTGTGACCATATGTAAATAGTCATAAAGGTTTAGTTTTCCGGTAAAAGCGGTCATTATCTATGAAAACATTTCGGCTGAAATTTACTTGCCTTTCAAATGACTTGTAGTGCTTAGAATTTATTTGGGTGCTGTTTTGCGTAAGGAAGACTAAGAGTTTTACAGTTTGGAGACATTGATCCGCGTTCTGAGTGGCTTGTTCATATTTTATTTTGCAGACATGGTAAAGGACACTTAATTCCGCCCAGCGAAGTCAACTATCGCGCCAACGTTTGGGCGTTGAGAGATCTCGGGTGTACTCATATATTAGCTACCAACGCTTGTGGTAGTCTACAGGAGGACTTAGTACCCGGAGATTTCGTTGTTCTCAATCAGTTTTTGGATAAAACTTGGGGTCGTGAAAATACGTTTTATGGAAGTAAACCTGATTCATTGAAAGGAGTTCTACATATGCCGATGGCAGAACCATTTTGTGAAAAAACACGTCAGGTTAGATATTGAGCTAGTTTTCTATCGCTTGACTTAATAATTAGGGAAGTATGTAAAGTTTTTATACTTAACTCTATTTACATAAAGGTTTTTGGTGTATAATTGTTATGACACTTATGTATACTTTGACATTAAATTTTACAACTGTTCCATCTAGTTTGGTTTGTTTCTATCAGTACTTTTAAGTATTTACATTTTACGTTGTTTTTTTGCCCATAGTTTGTAGCTCATCCGTTCAAATTAAAAAATGTGAACTGCTTCTAAAACGTTTTTAAGAGTATTATTTGATGAAGAGTATTCATTCCGAATAATTAAGAATCACGTTAACTACACGATATTTTGTGTTCCTAGGAAATGTTTGGATTTTTTGAATTGTGTCATATTAGTGTCTACTGATTCCATTGAGTGCTATTATATGAAGGGTAATGTCTGCCACTTTGTTTTATTGATGGTTTGTGGATGTTGTTTAGTATTACTTGTTAGGCAGTTCTAAAATTGTAGTCCTTCAAAAACACAAAAGAATATCTGAGAAGCATCTTTACCATCTTCTGGCCAATTGACTTTCACATATTATGACCATATGAAGAATAGCTCGAATACACACCACAATGTCCTTTAGATGGCCAGCGAATTTAAATTATCACATTCTGTAGTTTTGAAGTTAGTTAATAAATTGTACATATATACATATGAAAAGATCAGTTTTGTTTATACTGTCAAAAATGTCATCAATTTCCATGTTTTGGCAGATGAATTAGAAATGTTTAAAATGGAATATAAACAAACCATTAGTCCACTGTGTACTCAAGTGTGCATTTTCTAATGACCAGGACTTCTATAAACCTAAGAATGAGCCACTTACAGTTGTTTGAAGGCTTACTCCATGGTCTTTTTTCAATCATATACCTTGCTATCATGTGGAACACAGTTGTCTGCCGCTGCGCCTAACTATTCTTGTTATATTGTCTAACTCCGAAGATATTTCTGGGCATCTTGCTTTGTTTCTAATTTGAGAGCTGAATTACTTCTCCATCTCACTACATTTTCAAGATTTACAAGGTGATTAATTATTTCAGTTGTTAGTTAACCTTATTATTTATTTAGCAGTGATTTTACTTTCATCCCTTGATCTTACTAATCTCAAACTGGTTGACTACAGTATTACTGAGTGAAATTTCTGAATGTTACACCACGGTCGAATGAAATATGTTTGTTTGAATACGATAATAAAATTTCGTAGACAGTTTGCCTTTCAAACTATTAATACAGTGATTTTGCATGCTCTTGTCAGTCAGTCAGTCAGTAACAACTTAGAACTTCGTACGTACGCATATCAGTTCGAGTTGCCACAGCACATTAGCACAGAGATACAATTGTCGATTCAAATCCCGTAGTGGTAGTGGCGGTAAGAGCAAAAGCAGTAATCAGAAAGATTAGGATTTGAAGATGTTATTCAAGAAGTATAATCTAGTGAAATAAATTTGGAAAGAGGAAAAAAGGGACATGAAGAATTCAGAAAATCAGAAGTTGGGAGAACACAAAGAGTGGATGCACTAGCGCTATTGCAAACGATTTTGAGCCATGTCGTTCAAGGTCTCTAACAATCGGTTGCTATCATCTCGCGGTCCTCAACCAGGTATTCTACACCTACCAACATGGCTCAGTCCACTTGTCAGTGACTTCATGGATTTGTGCCGTGTTTTCTTCTGGCAACCCCTAGCTTTCTTCCAACCTACTCCTATACCGTTGAACATCGCATGTCGGGGCAGTTGGTGGTTGGGCATATGTAACACGTGTCCCAGCTATCTAAACTGATGAAGTTTCACTACTTCATCAATTGATTTGCCATCCTTACCTAGTACCCGTTTCCTAACAGCTGCGTTACTTACTCGGTGGTCCCAGGATATACGACCAGTGTTTCGAAGACACCTATGATCGAATACTAGTAACTTACGAATATCCTCTACTCTTACCGGCCATGTTTCACTGCCATAAAGTAGGACGGAACGAACTGCTGCGCAGTAAACCCGTCCTTCGTTTGATAGACAGATATCTCGCCCATGCCATAAATGACGCGAGTTGACAAAAGCTAGTCGAGCCTTCTGTGTCTGTGCTGGGATTTCGTCACACACCAGATCACAAGGGCTGATGAGACTTCTGAGATAAGTGAAGCGGTCGACACGCTCAACTACATCACTCTCTATCATTAGTTGGGGTGTCGATGAAACCCAATCCTGAAGCAACATTTTGCATTTCGAGAGGGAGAATCGCATGCCGAACATGGTTGGATTGTTGCTTAGAGTGGTCAGAAGACTGCATTTTGTCAGTGTCTTCACCAAATAGAAGTATGTCATCAGCATATTCTAAGTCAACAAGTGAATCTCCCAGTGAAAGTTCAACTCCTGGAAATTTAGATGAGAAAAATGTTGTATCTGAAAGCACGTCAACGACAAAGTCAAATAAGAATAGAGAGAGTGGACAGTCCTGACGAACACTACTGGAGGTAATCAATTCTGATGACAGTTCGTCATAAGCTCTCACTCGACCAGTTGTGTTCGAGTAGAGAGCCTTTACAAGGTTAATGCACTTCTTCGGTTCTCCTTTCAGTGACAAACACTGTCACAGAACCTCAAGATCAACGGAGTCATATCCCACCTTAAGGTTGAGAAATACTACCATTGTGGGTCGTCTGAATCTGTGTCTATGTTCTAGAACCTGACGTAGTGTGAATATCGGATCTATACAACCACGTCCATGTCGAAAACCAGTCTGGTTTTCTTTAGTCTGCTCTTCGCGAGGTTTAGTTAGGCGTCGAAGTATTATTGAAACTAATATTTTAGACACTGTGTTAGTTAAACTGATTCCTCTGTGATTGTCACAAGAGGACTTTTGTCCTTTCTTATAAACTGGCACAATCAGTGATTGAGACCAGTCAGATGGGATGGCATTAGAGCATAGTCTGAATCTAAGCATGTGCTCCAGAATGAGCGACAGTCTTCAATCGAGCCCCTCTATCGGTGGCTAATAGCGATGTGATCTATTTGGGTCCAACGTTGGGGCGAATTCGGTGTTCGCTATGTTGAAAGATGTTTTTCCTTATGCTTAAGGTTAGTATTTGCAAGAAAGAGGCGGTTATCTGAGCATAGCTGCAACAGACAGTCGCCATTATCTGTTCTTTGAGCCACGACACTAAGATCCACCCGGGTGTCTTTCCCTACCTACTTGAAAATTAAAGTCATCAGCCATTATTAGTACATCAGATCACCTAGCTTTTCGGAGGTGGGAAAGCTTTCTGTAAAACTCATCTGTTACATCATCTGAGCTGCAGTCATTGGGAGAGTAGGCAGAGACGACGAAGAGGCAACGACGAGTGTCGCTATCTTTCCGAGTCCTCGTTGTCCCGTTTAGTCGGACAGCGCACAAGCGACTGTGTACTGGGATGCAGTCTAAGAGAGTTAGTTCTGTTTTGCTTGATAAATAATGTTTTAAAGCTCCTACAATATAATGATGCATCGGTAAGCAGTTGGTCTCCATTATCTACTTAATCATTGGTGAATGATCATGAAAATGTAAAGGAAAAGTTAAACACTGAAAACGTTTTTGCTTGAATTCTCTGTTTTATAGTTTAATAGTAACTTGTTCATATATCTCGTACATTTTCAGATGTTAATCCAAGCGGCCAGAAATAAATCAATAAATGTTTATGACAAAAAAACCATGGATAAATCCGCCTGTATTCATCCATGTGTACATACTGAAGGTTCTGCAGTAACTATCAATGGTCCACGTTTTTCAACTCGTTGCGAATCATTTGTTCATAAGGCAATGGGATTGGATATAGTTAACATGACATTAGTTCCTGAAGTTTCATTGGCTCGTGAAGCTGGTTTAAGTTATGCTTCTATAGCAATTGTTACCGATTTTGATTGTTGGAAAGCAGATGAGGAACATGTGAGAAAGTTATACTTACTGGCTACTTTTGTATAGTAATTTATAGATACACACATAAGGATGTCCTATTATTTTGTTATGCTTCCAGTATGAGGTTGTAAATTTCAATGAAGTTGTGTTTGTATTCGTCTTTAAATTTGAGGATTCTCATGCCTTGTTAAACTTTGTATTTCTAGGAAGTCCTAAAGTAAGATATAATGGTTATTAATTGTTGGTTAATATGCCGGGCTACTTTCATTTATAATTGTTCACAATCGATAGTAAAAAATCTAGGAATTTTTGTGACTTAGTAATTCAAGCACTCAGTTCTTTCAACCAGTATATTTCAGATTCGAATCCAACTCTACTTATTTCTGTCTGGTCAGTTAGGTAGTATTACTATTCCTTCTACAGATTAGTGTGACTCAAATTCGAGTGTTTAACGGTTTACTTAATACATGAGGCACATTATAATCCTTATTGTTGTTTAACCAACCAAACACCAATCTTCTCACTAAATAGATGGATAATTATTTGGTAGTGGTGTTTAATTTCTGATAGAAATTGCATGACATGATTATCTGGTTTCTTTTTGACTGGAATCATTGTCATTCATGTTTCCTGTTTGATTGATGGATAATAATTTAAGCATAGAATTAGACTACAACGGTGGGAATATTAACTGAACCTATTATAACAACGCCTTTTATTCATTCTATGTGCACTGGTCGTTTGAATAATCAAATGATGTTTTATGACAGACATATTGTCATATTGCATTGCACTAATGAAACTTTAAACAGCTAAAAACTGAATAATTATTACAGGTAGTTAAATACCTAGGATCCGATTTCTAGTTCATTTCACTGAATAGAATAAAGTTATTACTTTTAGTAAATAATGTTCTCCCAAGGGTAACATTGGATACAGTCTTTTATGCAATGGATAATTAAACAAAACTAGGAAAGAAAATTATCCGGTACTCAAATAATTCACATTCGCTGATGGATGACCTTAATTTCCGACCAACATAAAACCTCTATAACCATCTAAAGGTTAGTTTTACTGAATACGAAACATGAATCATTTCTCGGTTTACATGTATATTATTAACTTTCCACAGAATGCTCAATTTATTTGAAACTATCAAGTCCAAACTTGGCATTGATACCAACAAACTCATTTTTGATGTATTATTTCATTTTTACCAGGTCTGTGTTGATATGGTTTTGGAACAGTTTCGTAAAAGTATTGTTCACGTTAGAGAAATTCTATTAGAGGCTGTGGCATTGATTGGTGCTGAAGACTGGACAACAACCATTGAAGCAAATAAGGTATTTTGATTTTCTCTCACAGACTTGTCTTTTTTATGACACTTGACTAGATATTAGTGGCATTTCATTTGATACCACAATGTTAAACGATTCACCTAATTTGTTTGTCCAAAAATTCTGAAAAGCATGTTTTGAACTATTCAATATTATCATATAAGATTCAGTCAGTATCATCCTCCAGACACGAACTCAATACACACTGACAAACTTTGAACACTTTATGCCTGTTAAATTGAGCTGTCTATACAAAGGCGATAAATAACCGTAAAATGTATTTGCATCAATAAAAAACTGTCATGTAATTAAAATGCCTTGAGTGTGAATATACTACTAACTAAAACCATTGTTAATATTTGATAGTCAACCCTTGTCAATACACAGTTATATGAATTCGAAAGTGTAAGATACAGTTTGAGCACATGTCTGATAAGGTGTTATCTATTTTAGTTGTTGTTATTTTCTCATTTAGACTTTTATTAATTATCTGTTATTGGGGGTCGATAAACAGACATTATGTTTTACGTATGTGATACTGTCATGAAATTACGCTTATTTGAAGTAGAAGTTATTTGTGGTCATTCCACCATGGAGTCGTTTAAGAACTAACAATTTGTTGCAGCAGTCTTGTTATCAAGGTTCAGAGAGTAGTCTCCTTAAAACAATGTCTACCAATTCTACAAACAAAACACTCCGTTATTATCTCAAGATTGGCTTATATAATTCATTGACCAAGTACATGTTCATGTACCCGGTTTTGGACCACACTGTTTATAAGATCTAGTAACACCAATTATTTGAAAGTTTGAGTGTGCTTCATTGGCTTATTAATTGAGGCGATCATCTTTCAACCAGTGGATCTCAAATCTCGACGTCACTGCATTTAGTTTAGTTTGACCAACTGGATTGTATCACTAGGTCTGATGTAAATGATGTGGCTCATAGTAGTAATATTACTAATTGCATCAATAAAGTTTCAAAACATAATTGAAGATTGAGTTGGCTTAGTATGATTTAGAGAATGAGTTTCAACTTACTAACTTGAATTCAATGTATTGATTCTAGTTATTGTTTGATAAATCGGAGAGGGGTTCAATCATTAATGAACCATCAGTGTTGGTTCAATGGACTGTGTTATTCTCAGTCAACACAAAAATAGGTATATTTTACATTCATTTAGGTTATAAACAATTTGAAAGAGAATTTTGTTTCTTCTTTATCAATAAACAATAACAAAACTTGGTACCTGACAAATAAAAGGAATCTGTAGTAATTCAATAACTACCATGGATTATTATGCAATCCAATTTTCAGTTAAAATATGTTACGTTCCGTACTTCATTATTTTAAACAACTTAACCACACATATGTATTGAATGCTCTAAGGAACTATGTGACACTGAAGTAATTCCCAGCATTCATTAGTACCTTTCACTTCATGAATCGTATAATTTGTTTTCTAATTGAATTTTTTTTATTTACAAGTTTTACCTTTTAATTCTCGTTTTACAGGCGCTAGTGTCGAGCTCGCGTCAAGACTTACTTCATCAAGATAGTAAGGGCAAATAAATATGAGGATAATCGGAATTTATTGTCTGTGAACATGAACAAATGAAGTTTAATTGACTATTTTACAAATAAAGATTTCAAAGAATGTTCTTATTTAATTGACAGTAATTATGAAATTGAATATTTTTCATGACAAGTGTTTTCTACTTTTAATTGGTTGTTTTGTTAGAATCCTATGAAATTTGTATTTGAGAATAAAACTTAAAACAATAAAATGAGCAAGCATTTTTTTTTAAAAATTTGGTTCAGTGTAAACAGTTAGAAATGAATTCAATCAGGCACACAATCATGAGTAATGTAGAATCTGGCACATTCGTTTTTAATCAGTTCAAAATGTTTCTATACGCTATGTTTACCAAGACTGTGATATATACGTGATGTATTACATGAAATGGAGTTTGCAATGGATTCTGGAGATTGTTCATAACTGATACTATCTGATGTCGAGGGCTAAAATCTGAAGATGAACACAAGTGACAGCTCAAAATAACTTAAATCAAGTTATTCCCCTGTTTCTCCAGGTAAATCTCACTAAGATAGTCTATGAACAACTTCCTAGACTTATTATACGGAAGAAGTATTTAATTTCCGGGGCATTCAAGATCATATTTCAGTAGTAATAATAAAATGACCAAATAACTTAATATTTTGAAATCAACTTTTAGTTAGAGTTTTCAATTTAGGAGGTCCGTGGTTTGGACTCAAGTTCAGTTATGTATTTCCTCACAAAGTTATTATGGTATCCATTTTGTTGTGGCGTCGCCCTTACCATGTCTAATTCTTCTATATTATCCTAATAGTATAGTCACTGGATTTCATCACTCAGACAGTTAAATAGATTAGTTTTATGTTGCGGAGTGTGAAGCACGTCCATCGATTGTTTTGACATGTGAAGAATAAGATACCGTTCAATGAAATCCGTCTCTCTAATAGGTCGTATGATCTATGCAATAGGAATGTACTGAGCAAAGAAACTTGGACGGAACTGTGTATTCACTGACTTACGCTTGTTACTCCCAATGGAGCATAGGCCGCCGACCATCATTCTCCAACCCACTCTGTCCTGGGCATTCCTTTCTAGTTCTATCCAGTTGTTGTTCATTCTTCTCATGTCTGTCTCCATTTCTCGGTGTCATGTGTTCTTTGGTCTTCCTCTCCTCCTTTGACTTTGAGGGTTCCAAGTGACGGCTTGTCTCGTGATGCAGTTGGGTGCTTTCCTCAATGTGTAACCTATCCACTTCCAGCGCTTCTTCCTGATTTCTCGGCTGGGATCTGCTTTGTTCTCTCCCACAGTAGTTTGTTACTTATAGTGTCTGGCCAACGGATCCGAAGTATTTGGTGTAGACAACTGTTAATAAGGACTTGTATCTTCTGGATGATGACTTTCGTAGTCCCCCATTTTTCCGCCTCATACAGTAGAACTGTCTTGACATTTGTATTGAAACTTCTGACTATTGTGTTGGTTGACAGACAGTTGTTTTGAATTCCAGATGTTCTTCAGTTGTAAATATGCTTCTATTGCTTTTCCGATCCCCGCGCCTTCACATCTGCATCAGAACCACCGTGTTCATCAATGATGCTGCCCAAATATGTAAAGGTTTTTACATCTTCCAAATCTTCTCCGTCAATTGTGATTGGATTGGTGCATGCTGTGTTGTATCGGAGAATTTTTCTTTTTGTGTAGAGACCTAGTGCTGCTGAGGCTGCTACTACACTGGTCGTCTTCTGCATTTGTTGTTGCGTGTGCAATAGAAGAGCTAGATCATCTGAGATGTCTAGGTCGTTCAACTGCACCTAGCTGTCCACTGTATTTCATGCTTCCCTTCAGATCTTGACGTATTGATGATCCAGTCGATCAACAGGAGAAAGAGTGAGAGTAAGTTACTTTGCCTGACACCGGTTTTTACTTCGAACGAGTTTGTGAGCTGTCCTCCATGCACAATTTCGCAGTTTAATCCATTATAGGAATTCCGTATTATATTGGCCATCTCTCAGGCATGCTCCTCTCTTCTTGCTTGTTTACTTCTTTGTATTCAACTTGTGCCTTGGCTTTCTCTGCTCTTGTTCGGCTGGTATTGATTGCTGCCCTCTTGTTCCTCCTTTCTTGAATCATATCCAGTGTATCAACAGTGATCCATTCCTTGTGATGGTGCTTCTAGTGGCTCAGAACCTCATGACATGTTGAAGTGATTGTCTGATTTATCCCTTTCCAGTTGCTCTCCATAGTAGTTCCCTCTTCATTGAATAGATAGTGAAAGGCCTGGAACCTATTACCGAGGGCTATCATGAATTTGTTAAGTTAGCCAGTATCCCGAAGAAAGGCGTATTGAATTTTTGTGATGTTGTCCGCCCCTTCGTCAAGTGCTTCTCGAGTTTCGATTTCATCTTGGCGACCAGCAAGTGATGATCTGAGGCTATATCAGCCCCTCTTTTGGTTCTCACATCCTCTATCGTCCTGGAACTTTAATTGATGCAGATATGGTCGATTTTGTTCTATGTAGTGTGATCCAGTGAAATCCATGTGGTTTTGTGTATGTGTTTATGTGGCAATATAGTGGCACCTATGACGAGTTTATTGACAGCACATAGGTTTGCAAACCGCTCACCATTTTTGTTTCTTTCTCCCAGTGCATGTCGTCCCATAATATCTTCATATCCGGTGTTGTCCATTTCAACCTGGACATTTAGGTCTCCCATCGGAGTAGTCAATTCCTTTGTTGGGCAGTTCTGGACGATTGACTGCAGCCTATTGTAGAACTGATCCTTAACGTCCTCGTTGTAGTCGTTGGTAGGCGCATTGCATTGAATAGCCTTCATTGTAATGCCCTCTTTCTTTGTTTTGAAAGAGGCTTTGATGATCCTTGGCCCATGAGATTCCCATCCTATAAGTGCATTTTGTGCTTATTTGGATAGCATCAATGCAACTCCTTGTGTATGCGGAGCATTTTCTTCTTCATGGCCGAAAATAACAGAATCTTTCCTGAAGCTAATCGTTGTTGTCCAGTCTGCGTCCAATGTTTTTCGCGGATTCCAAGCACCTCCAGATCGTATCTCTTTATTTCTGCAGCAATTTGGAAGACTCTCCCGCTCTCCCACATTGTACGAGCATTCCATATACCTAAATCAATGTTTGCTCTGGTTGTCAGAAGGGATATCAGCTTCGTGACTTCAGAAAGAACTCGGCTTTCATCATGAGGCGTCATAACTCTTCTAAATGAAGGCCTTCTAACTCCCAGGGCAGAGTTTAAATGGTTTGGATTCGTTTTTTGGTTTGCGCTTTTGGCGAGTTAGTTTTCTACGTGATGGAGCCGCTAACTCCATACCCAACCCCTTCCTTTATCTGGGCTTGAGACTTGCAGTAGCCCCAGAGGGGCTCCAGGCAGAGTTGTATAATCACTCCCATGGTTTTGCATCGATTTAGTCAAATATCTGAGTCACAGAATCCGACGATTATACTCCTAGGAACCGTGAATAAAAAGCCTTTGTATATACACTTACAATTCAGAGGCGATAAACCTGGTGACGTGCTAAGACTAAAGTTACGCAAATCAATCTAAAGAATTTTTAATGCATGTAAACTACAATTAATGTTTTTCACACGTCCAATGATCACTCCAAGGTTGAGAGATAAATTGCCTAGGCTAGCCACTTCTGTTGAGCAAGTTATATTGGCAGATGTTCTAGGAATTCATATATTCGTGCTCGTGAGAACCTCTCAGAGTGGTCAAGCAAAGGTGTAGTTAGAACTGTTAACAGCTCCATTTTAGCTCATTTAATTCAGACGTAACATGGAGCAATCTTTCACAATAATATATATCGTGTTAACATCGGTCTACCGAGTTTCGTCAGACTGGAAATCTTGCAGACGGCTGAAGCAAATGCTATTCGGATCAAAGAGCCAGAGCTTTCCATCCAAAAGAAATAGGTTCAGCCGCTCCTTTTGCCCTGGCCAACTTCGGGCCGTTCATTTTTATATCCTGAACTTATCCACACATCATACATTTATCATTATTATGACACTTGCTAACCTTTTGAGAAATTTATTCAGCATCCATTCCTATCTGCTAATTCTTGTCTATTTCATATTATTCTACATATTACGTAATTCTCGATTTGTAACTACATAATTCTGTCTATCACCCCATGTTGATCATATTTGTTCTGATCATTTATCTCACAATTTCATTTTACTTATAAACCGATTCAAGCTAATATCTTATATAAGTCGTCCCAACATTAACGATTTGATTTGATTTTATATGACGAATAATCCTTGACTCACATGTTACAATATTAAATGATGTACTCTGACTTAGACCTGGCCAATTTTATGGATTATTAATTTGCATATATAATTGTAGAATCTGATGAGAATTATTGGAAAAAAAACTCTTGATTCGTGTGATAGCCTTCCTGATTCCTTCCGTCATTGGTGGAGTGACATCTATAGAAAGGTCTGTGGGTGCTGCCTCGATATACGATGAGTTCAGTGGAGCTTCTTCATTTATTTATTTATTTGGACATATAAGTATTAGTACAAAAGGGCATCAAATAGATATGCGCCACACAAATCATTTGGGTTGTGTGAGGACTGGGATACTGCCCGGGTGTCCGAACCGAAGCAGGTGGTTTTCTTGGGGGGCCACACCCCGAGCCTTTGGCCTAAAGGTCTAATCCACAAAGCAGTGGAACAACGTAAAGAGATGTAGTTCTATGGTAGTCGGTGACCAACGATCTGTTCACACGCCATTTGTTCCTTCGGGATCCTGGAGCCAATGTGCACCATTGGTTTGGAACCAGGGTTTTCCAACTGCCCTATGTGGGTCAGCCATATCCACCAACCCAATCAAATCGCCGGACCTTCGATTTTCGTACTCTACATTTCGTAAACAACACCCTGCAGTGAGTAGGAGCCAGCCTATTCAAGTGTTCCTCAAAGTGTTTTACATATCTGATCTTCTGTTCTGGAATCTCGTTAATTGTCATGCCTTCCTTCTCCTTGATCGGTCTCTCTGGTCTACCATATTTCCCTTTCAGTTTCTTCGTCGTGTCATATAGCTGTCTCATATTACCTTCTCTTGCAGCTTTTTCCGATGTCGTTGCTAGGTCTCCCACAAGTTTCTGCTTGTTTTCCCTAATGCTCCTTTTCACTTACTTGTTCGCTTCAGTGTATTCAGCTTGTATCTTGATTTTTTCTGCTCATGTTCGGCT